ATATGTATATATTAGACATATACACACAAATATAATATATCTGTATATGCAAATATATATACACTGATCTCTGTGCATGTGTCTTTATCCCTTTAAAGAACCATTAGAAAGCTTTTGGAAGGCACCTGCCGTTCTCGCACGGGTGAAATAAAGACCAAAAACAACAGTTTCGACCGAATTTCCTATTTCTTCATAAAATGGCAGTTCTCAGGGTTTCCCCCTTTCTCTCTGTTGCAAAGTGATGTCTGCCTTTGCCTGTAGCACAGGCCTTCCTAGCCCTGTGGGTGGAAATGCAACAAGGCTTTGAATGTTTTTATAGCAACCTAGCCTGTGGCATGCTGATTCTTTGTCAAGTCATTTTTATTTTATTTTATTTTTTTTTTAGCTTACAAAGGAACAACTCATACGATCCACAGAAAGCTTATATAATAAGGATGCCCAGCGTTTAAGATATTTTAAACCACACTGAATCACAGTTAAAAACCCTGCCGCATTGTGAACCTTTAGCTAAGAGGGATTAGCTACGTGAAGTCCTGGCTGTCATGTGATTATGGCAATTATAGATTTATCATGAAATTAAAAGTTTATGCTGTGCTGGGCTATGAAAAAAAAATAAAATCAGATGACCTTAAACATACCACGATTTGAGGAATTTGGGGGTTGGGACTTTTAAAGCAATTATTTTTACAGTGACTGTATTATTCTGATGGCTAATTTTATCCAGTCTTGTCTATTTGGAAAAAAGTCCAGAACAATTGAAAATTGCTTAATGGAGACAGAGTTCTCAATTCCAATAGCTAGAGGCTGTCTAGTAATTATTGCTTGCTGCATGAAATTAGACACAGTTTGTTCAATTACTTAAAATTAGATCACAAGTAAGGTGGCAAAGTGAAATAAGAAAAAAAAAGAATAATTTTGTCTTCGCTTGATAGCAAAGTAATGAAATGGGAAGTAAGCTATAAAGATGAAAACATTACAAATCATCTCTGTAGGGTTTGTTTTTGAAGAGAAGCAAAATGTTATGTTCAGATAGATGGACGTAAGTCAAGTATGACTTGTTTGTTGTGGATGCACATGTATATAAGGCGGACGATAAAATTCATGTTGTATTTTTTCATGTGTAAAATGCAAAGCGCTCGTAAAAGAGAAGTAAGATCCCTTTCCCTGTGTCCTCCACATTGCAATTCTGGAGCTGTTTCACGTACATGCAGAAAATACAGGGGGTGGTTTCAGGTGTGCAGGTTATCTGTGGGCTTACTGTCAAGAAGCAGAATTTTTAAAAGAATAGGGGGTTCACTGCCATTTTTTGGAAAAAAAACCCTGTCTTTTGGAGCTGATGGTCACAGCTTTGAAATGGGCACGTTGGGCAAGGGGAAGTTACCGCAGTTACAAGAAAAATCACTAATTGGTAAAGTGAGGTGATGCAGGCATGTAACATCAGATTATGCTGTTTACAAGAGTATATAAAATCTGCTAAATAGTTACGATACCAATAAGATTGCTGAATTTTACGAGGTTTTAAATTCTTATGCTTTACAAGGTTTCGGTTTACATCTCATGTAATATTACACCAAAGAATACATCCAAAGAATATGGGAATGTTTTGGGGAGAAAAAAAGGGGATGTGTGTATAACAGCAAATACTTTGTGACAACCAGCTGCTAAATGGGATGTTGGGATAGGTTTAACAATTTTGTCAAATCATCTTAATGAAATGTTATTAAGTAGCTTGGGGCAGACCAGATCTGAATCCGATGTCTACTGAGATTTGGGTGTCCATGTTAGGAGCCAAGCCAGATCCTCAGACCAGGGTTTTTCCTGGGAATTTTTACGCTTGCAATATTTGGCCGTCTTCTTTTGGGACAGTGGCATTTCTACATGGAGGAAAAGGACAGAAATGATATTTCTAAATTTCAAACTCGGATGTGGTATTTGCTGTTGATTTATTAAGCAATCTGTATTCATGCAGAAGCAAATTTTCTGAGAAAGCAATCAAGTTCTCACAAGAAACTTATGATTGAATTTTAACATTATCTTCAATTAAACCAGTATTTATTTTCTGTCTCTTAGGATTAGTGCAGCACAGCTATGTTAATGTCAGACAAAAATGTGCTGATCATTGACCTTGCATTGGCCTGTGTTCAAAACCCAGGCGTTTGTTTATGTTCAGGATGCTGATCTTATTTGCAAATTATTTTGGGGCACTGGCAAGATTTGTCTTCACTATCTCAGAAAACATCAGCGTGTTTTAGTTTGAGAGAGAAGTGCTTTATCGCATTCTTTATTGTTCTGTGAAATACAGGAAAAAAAATAGTCTGTGATTTGACTCTAATCAGTCATTCGAGACAAGTGCAAAAACTTTCAGCTAATGCAACAAATATCCTTCTTGAGTATCAAGGTACTGCCAGTATCCTAAGCACTTATTTCTCCACTTCACTAATCTTTATAATTGGCTTGTCTTTTACTGCCATTAATTAAGTGATGTAGTAGCCCATTAATAATTATAAAAGAGTGACACACCTCAGCATTTTCACCTTTCGGTAATAGATGTCACACTTCTGTTTTGGGTTTTTTTTTTTAATATAATTTAAAATAAAAAGTAGGCCGAAAAAGCATTGTTTTAAACGTATATATTTATTTTGGTGTCTTATAGCACCCTTACCCTTCAGAAGAACAGAAAAAGCAGTTGGCACAAGACACAGGGCTCACTATACTTCAAGTGAACAATTGGTAAGTAATTTTCCTCAGTGTTTCTATACGGCCGCTGGCACCCTCCGGCTAACGCTTTGCATTTTTGAGGACACACCTTGCCCCTGTCTGCTCCCCCCCCCCAGCAGTTTATCGATGCGAAAGGGATATAGCCGGGCGAGTGGTTTCAGTTATGGGAACTAGGAGGTTTGCTACCGCAGAAAACAAGCCATATTTATTTTACCATCGCTTGGGCAGATTTCAGTGTTATTCGCATTTGGGTACCAGTCCTCCTTCTGGCTGAGGATGTGTCTTCTTCAATGGGAAGCCACATCCATTTTGAGAACTTTGGTCTTGGAAGAGCTTGAGATGTTGGGTGAAAAAAAGGGGCAATTGGCGCCCATTTCTGCAGAGCGTATTGTTATTTTGGGCTGCTGTCATCTTCTTTTTAAATGCTGTTAAGTGGGGTTTTTCTTTTTGACTGACATCCTTCTATCTCTTTACCGGTTTGTTTAAAAAGTCCAGGTTTTGAAAGCTTGAATAAACTTCGAGGACAACCTGGCTTTTTGCTGCTGAAGTACGGTGTGGAGCAATTTTATTTATTTATTCCAGCTAAGGGTTGCTGGAGCCCCTGATCTGTTGTAGTAGCGGTTTGTTTGAAGGAAATTGGGATCCGTGCTGTTTCTGCAGTGATTTTGGGTTGCTAACTGTCTGATATGTGGTAAAGGCAACCAGTGAAAATTACTTGTGATTTAAGTATAGAAACACAACAGCGAACCCTTAAAAAAAGTTTGATTTATTACCCTTTGTTACTGCATCAAAATGCAGGTTTCTTCCACTATCCCAGAACAAGTGTCATATTTGAAGTGTATTGCAATCTAATACCTTGTAAAACTAAGTGTATCTAATTAATTGTCCTAATATTTTTAGATTAGTGTTTATGGTGGGAAACCTTATCCTCTTTGAAGTAATACCCAGAAAATGGCCAAGGCAAACGGCGAGCCTGCTGGGGAAAAGGGAGGGAGGAATGCCAGTTTGCAGACAAAAGTATTTTTTTTCCATTCAATAAGTGTCAGAGATTAATATTACTGAAGCTCTGATTACATGGCCTAATCCATTTTAGTGAATAAATTTGGTCTTGATGTCCATTGCACCTACATTAACAAACCCTCCTCTCTTAGAGAGAGTAGGAGCCTATGGGAGAGATTTCAGATATATTAAACCCCATTACAGAAAATGTAATTTCTGTCAATATAATCCCATGTATTCTTCAATTTAGTACTTTAGAGATAACAAGCTACTTACAATATATTTGCCTTTGGAGGATTAATTTACAAAGTGCACTATCTGGGAGACGCAGGCAGGCTCACATAAGCATAGCTTGTAAGGGTTATCAATTTCTGTGACCCCACAGCAGCCTTGGGAGATCAATTTTTTGAAGCCCTTTAAGACACTGAATAAAGGAAAATACCAAATACTTAGTGCATGTGAAGTATGCTTCCAAGATACTTACTTTAAAATGGAGGAATAAAAGGCACTAAACATAAAATATGTGTTAGAAGGGAACGTAACCTGCGGTATTTTGGCTTAGCCAGGAAGAATTAGTATTTGCTTCAGCTTTGCGTCCTTCAACCTTCATCCGGGCGATACCCTAATTTTTATGGTTGTCCTTCAGTTTAACGATAGGCACTTTGGCCGGTTGAGAAGCTGTGTATGTGCGTCAGGGGTTTTATGTAATGATGGGGTGGAGCAAGCGTGTGCTGCGTCAGAGGGGTCCTGGAGCGTAGGATTCGTCATGGGCAACTGTCAGTTCGGGATGGTCCATCAAAGATATTTTTCGAGGTGATGAACATGGGATGCTTTGAAGTAAAGCTGGTGGAAGTTCTCCCAAGTGACTTTTCAGGGTGTTTTTCAGTACCCATTTCGCCTTGGTTTTGAGGAGTTTTTGCTTTGGCTTTGTGTCAGATGTGTTTTTATAAGTTCCTTATGTGCAAGGAGAAAAAAAAAAAGAAAGTAGGTCAAAATACATTATAACTGAAGTCTTGTGGATGTAGGGCAGGCTTCCTCTGCTTGAGCTAGTTTGGTAATTCTGCTGTGGTGTTACAATTGTATAAATTATTGAGACAATTCCCCTTCCCAGCCCCACGAAGATTTAACACTATGGAGCTGGTCGGGGCTTTTTTAAATAACAGATATCCCTATGTGGTGGGCAGAGATGCCAAAATACGGTAATTCAGCCCCTACTTCTTGTAATAGGTGCTCAGGAACAAGGAGGCTGTGAGTCTGCGGCTGAGCGCGCAGGCTGCACGTGCACACTTGCATCCTCAGGAAACATCCAGCCACGAGGTGACCAACAAGCTATGCATCCCCTCCCAAATCCTGGGGATATTGGCAACCCTCTCCCAACCTTTTCCTGAATCCCTTTTCTTCTAAGTTGGTATCCAGGAGAAGAAACTCTTCTTCCCTAAATGGTTTGCTGCAGGGAAGAGCTAACGTTTTGTTCCTGGTTAGCTTTGCCTTTCTTCAGTGGGCTCATAAGTCATTCAGCCACGACTTGCAAAAAATTTTGCCTTCCTCCTTAGATTCTTCCAAACTTGTTAACACACATGTAGATTTTTGTATTAATGATGAGTCATTGTAAATCACTGTTGCAGAGATTAAATAAAATGCTGAAGGGCAGGCTGGGTGCAGATCAGTCATAAATTATTGGCAGCAACACAGCATGTGGGAATACATGAAATGTGCATGAAAAACATAAACTCATGTCTGGTAGCATGGTCGTTAGCCCAGACTGGGAATGCTGGATTTTCTGGATGGAATTAGAAGTTTGCCACAGAGCAGTCAGTGAAGAGAGCATTTGTTTTCTGCAGATTGAAAGCATTTGAACAAATTTTTTTTGTCATATTTTGAATGCCTTTACAGTATGTGCTAGTTACATACTTCAGTTCTCTGCCGTAATGGAAAAAATGGTGCTTTTCACATACGGTCTGCCCGGTGTTCGGACTCCCCGGGTTGATGCACACAACTCCTATTGATGGTGGAGGAGTCACAGGAGTGGGGTGATGATGTGAGACATGCCAGAAAATGTATCAGTGGTAGGGCACATGTCTTTAAAAATACCACAGTTTTAACTTGACCCTTTTTCTTGGGTTGTTTTATTTTTTATTTAAAGCAATGAAATAATCCACATGGAGGATTTCCCCCCTTTTTTTAACAAGTGACAATTTTCCTTGCAAATCACTAGCGTTGCCCTTCAGGACCATCTTTTTGCCACAGTTGGATGTTTCTGTCGTGGGAAGAAGGAGCCCTTACCCTGTTGCAAAAAAAAATATCTCTGTGCTAAGAAGGTGGCAGAGTTCAAGATGTCGTTAGTCTAAATGAACCCTCCAGGTCTCGGTCTTGTTAGTCGTTTAACCCCGCAGCAGTTTGGGGTTTGAAGCATGGTAACATGAACTAGAAGGGGCACTTGTATGATCTTGAGAGCGTTGCATATATGGACATGGAAGGGACCTGACCAAGTACAGGTTAATAAGGTGCTTTTCCCTGGTGATAAAACCTGTGATTGAAATATCCAGGAGGTGTGATCCAATCACTTCTTACCTCAGGCAAGAGCCAGCCAGGCTATATTGAACAATCTATACAATTTTCTTGTTTACTACATCCCAGCTGAATCTCTTCCTGTTAAGAACTAATGGTAAATAATTACTCGTGGTACTCTACGGAGAAGAGAGAGCAATTCTTATCAAGGGCTGCATTAGGTGTCAGATGCTTGTTTATATTTTAGGAAAGTCAGGGTAGACACAGATAAATGTCTGTATATTTGCAGAATAATGTGCCTGTATAACCTCTCTGTATGTGCATGTCTATATGTGACTATCTCTCTAAACAGAGTTGCATACAACTGCATTAAAGTGATCGTAAAAAAAAAATAAATCGGAAAACTGAAATCCTTAAAGCTCCAGCCTTCTATTAGGTGTTTCCATTCTGCTTTTTCCAAAATACCCTTGTGCTATCTAGGGCACAGCCCAGACAATGATGGAGCAGCTAGTCAATATTTTATCTTCCCCTCATTCTTCAGTGCTTCGTTTGTTGAGCTCTATTCAAGCCATGCTTGAAGATGGAATTAATAATTACTGCTGGGCTTTCCTATGGCGCTTACTGCTGTAATACCCAAGTCCTCCCCTGACCTCCACTTGCCTTATATGCATACAAGGTTGTGGGTCTGCATGATATTTTTACAGTTCCTCTGCCAAGAGAGAGAATAATGTTGTCCCAGTTCACAGGTGAAGAAAGGAAGCTCAGGGAGGTCCAGGTCCAGCACAGCCACTGTTTTTGGGTTGGTCTGGGACTGTGAGATGACTCAAAATAAGAGCACGTTATCCACATTTCAGGTTAAATGACCATCGAGTTCAGTAGAAATTCCGAATTTTTAGTGCCTCGGCATCTTACATTGTCAAGCTCCAGTGCTGGACACGAAGGAGAGACGCAATAAATCAGTAACTGCTGGGGAAGAGTTTGGGTTTGATGTTTTCCTCGGTGGCTGCCAAGCAGCCAAAGGCAGACACAGAGCTGAAAATCTCCTTCTCCAGTGCAGCGTTTACCTGCTTCAGCCAGGACTGCTTTGCTTTTCTTGCTGTTTGCTGCCTTATTCATTCAACTTTGACAAACTTAATTTCCTGTAGAAATCAATTTTTCTACATTATAGTGCCCTGGCTTGTTTTTACAATAAACATAACTGTCATTGGGGTGGTTGAGGCATTGGGCCCTATCAAAAATTGTATTACGACCTGGTAACCAGACTGTTTGCGTATAAAGTAGATTAAAGAATAAGGTGCAAGCAGCTCTAGTAATACAGGTTCCTAACTCTTGAGTTCTTGATTTTATGACTTTGGCTTCTTTAAATGTCAATTTTGTGTTTAATTTCCTAGGCTTGCAAAAAAAAAAAAAATCAAGCCCCAACCAAACACACTGGAAAAAATGATCAAATAATGTAAATTTCCCTAATCTCATTCTTGGAGACAGCTGAAGTTATTTTTGCTGAA